GTCTGGTGTTGCTAGGTTCTCCAGCTCCTTGAAGGATATGGTTCACTGACTGCAGTGGGCTTCACAAGGCATTTAAGACCAACAGGGTCAATCTTCCGAGTACTTAAACATTCAGTCAGTGCCTACTGAGATCTTCAAAGCTCAAAGAGCACTGCATAACAACTTACTCTGAAAGAGTTTTTTCGCATGTCATTTCAAATATACAAACAGCCAAAAAAACCCCGAACATATAAAAAAAGACCCAATATTGATATTCAAGACAGTGCTATTTTTTAAATTACATTAAGCTAAAGTCACCTGGTCAAAGACAGGCTAAACTGGCTTCATGCAAGATGTTACTGAACACAGTAAAACAGATCTTCCAGTTGTGTGGTTTAACTTCATTACAATTTACTTTATTGCCTTTTAGCTAAAAATACTGATTGTAAAACAATTCTGTGGCAGTTATTCTTACTTTAAAAATAGGATCATCTTATATGATAAGAATGAGTTAGTAACTATTCCATCAAATATCTGTAGTTATGAAAAGCTCTTTCTATCCATTAATTTAATTACAGTAAATACCAAGAGTCTGTTTTTGGTTTTTGTTTGTTTGTTTGTTTGTTTTTGCTTACACAAAGCCTAATAAGGCAATTCTCAGGAAAATGAGAAGGTGTACTTCTCAAACCAGATTGTATAATTTGGCAATTTGCATCTATCCTTTCCTTAGTGGAAAAAGCAATACTCTTACCATATGAAGTCACTTTGAAGGCATCCCAAATAAAGGGCTGAAGATAGTAAGGACATTAATTTATTCTGAAGAAAAAGACTGCTCTATAAAAGAATGTAGACTGCAAAAATCATCCAAGAGGCAGCAGTTAAACCTTTCTTGGAATAGTTTCAGTTGAGGAGAGAATGGACACCAACTGAATATTGCATAACAGGTGACAGAGGCAAGCACCACGAAACGGAAAACTATTATAATAACCCATTCAAATGCGGATTCTTTCCAAACCAAGGTTTTAAAGAAAGAAGAAAGTTGTGCAACACTTGTGTTTTTAAAGCCTCCTTCATAAGATTCCCTATAAAGCAAAGGACAGTTAAATGTGAAGACTGTCAAGCAGCGTAACAGTTGTGTCACATAATGTTAGGTGATGGGCAGGGCAGAGAGGACGGTAGGAGAGATTATGCTTTAGGTTTCTCCATCATGATTGTTCCAAATAATTGTGCAGTGCTACCAATTCATTCTGAAAGCAATACCGATGTGCTAGTTTTAGACAAGACAGGAGATAGATCAGGATAAGGAACAATGAAATAGAAATAAGAGCTTACTATATATGAGAAAGTTCTCTCTAGGAACCGTCGCCACCGATTATTAAAGGCAACTGGCATGAAGAAAGCAAGCATCATATTGTTTAGCAGCTATCCATTGCATCTACGATTTATCCGGTTGCTTTTTAAAGTTCTGCAGAACTCCCCTGAGGGAGCAGAAATGTGTATTAGATGGCTAGTCTACATTTCTGGAGAAAGAAAGAACAAAAAAAATTTTAAACATTCTGCAAAGGACCTTCAAACTAAAATGGTTGTTTGCTGTGAAACAGAAAACAGCCAAAACTAAACCACAAACTCCTGTTTTATAAACATTCGCAGGAAATACTAAAATCCTTCTGTAAAATGGTTATCTTGAAACTGGAAGCCTAACATTTTATAACCTATAATAATCCCGCTTAGATGTTCTCTGAAACACCACTGCACTGCCTCAATAATACGTAATCGTAACTATGAAAAGTATTTTTCTCAAGAGGTTCTGCTAAGCCTAAAAACAACATCTGATTCAACAACTTGTATCTTTAAAGTCTTCCTAGTATCTAGTACTTGTGGAGAAGTCATTTCTGTGGTGGGCGCAGCAGAAGCGCTGGATAACAGGACGTTCACGTAGCCTTACACGTATTGGTAAGTTGTACCAATCCTGCTCCTCCAATCTGCCCACAAAGTGACAAGAGAGGATTTTGCCATACTGCAGGAACGGTAAACCTAAAAATCTGGCAGGCTGAGGTGGCACAGGACAGGACTAGACAAAGCAGGCAGTTCCCAAATCCCCACAGAGGCACAGGGATAAAGAAACCGAGGTGCGACAGAAGTCAGCATTCAGCTTTTGCTCCACACAGAACATTAGGAAGCCGCAAGCCAGTCTGTTTCACTAGCAAGTATTTCCACAGCAATTCCAGGTACTGATTTTTAGAATGGGACACCATGAGCCTCAAATTACTTCTACTGGGAAGAGCCAAAAGCAGAAGAAATCAAAATAAGTTTTCTCTTAAATTTTTACTCTAGTAAAAATTTAAATTCCCTCATAGAGCCTTTATCACGACAACTATGCTAGCAGAACAACACCGACAGAGCCTGCTGGCACACAGTCAGCTTCTGTTGACAGAAGATGCTTTTCTGCTGACATAGTGGTACAATCGTTTCAAACAAAGTGTGCTCTTTTCTTTGCAGAGTGGAATTTTCTGTCAATATACTGCCTCCTTGACCTATCTGCGCTGCCGCAGCTGGGCCTGCTCCCCTGACTTATGGAAACAGATTCAGATAATTTCCAAGTGAGGAGTCACATTTTTCAGAGAAACCACTTCTCTATTCTGAGCTTTCTACAGTTGTTTTTAAGTTTCTTATTCACTAAGTGAGATGAATACTCACTACTATGACTTGGCTATCAAGGGCATAAATATCTCAACCAACATAACTGATTCTGGAAATATAGGATGGGGCTCAAGCTTAAGGATACTTATTTTCTTTAAGTGTAGCACAACTTCTGAGCTTCTTTTAAAAAGTTCCATAAAAAATAATTCTCTCCCAACAAAATCTGTGAACTAAGGAAGTGTTATAACTATTTTCATTTTCTGAAATGGGTAAGTAACAAAAGAAACTGATGAGCACAAGAGATTGTCCACTTGGACACCAAGTTGGCTGCTTTCCCAAGCCTCGCATGCAATTTACTACACTAGTTAAAAGATAAAAAGTTGAACTTTACATGCTATTATGGAAGTTGTTTTTGGAAGTTGTTTTTCCTTCTTTTAAAAATTTAAGATGTAAGAAACCAAGCACTTATCTGAAAACAACATTCTCTGAATGTTTTGCTCCCCTAACATTTTAAACTGTCATTAAGACTTCTGTAACTAAAAAAGACTCCAAAAGCTAAAAGCCAAAACATGAGCAAGACACAACCATGCATAAATATTACTACACTTAAAAAATACCAACAAATATTCAATATCACTGTATGAATATGGCTTTTCCAATCACGTACTGCAAAATGATGCACAGCAATGACATCATGAACTGATTTTACTTCAGTTTTTGCTGTGTTAACTTCAGTACAAAGGAGGGGACGGTGAAAGCTGTTAATCTCTGGAAACCCATCTTGAATACAACTATTGACAGAGGAGCAGAAGAGCTCACTAAAAATATAAAAATATATTCAAATGTGAATTTTTTTTTTTGTGTTTCTGTTCTCATTTCACCAGCCTGAGCTCTAGAAGGGTGCAGCACTATACACAGCCTGGTTCCAGGCACTTGCATGGCTGAAGTGCTGGTGCTGAATAGTCCCCTCCGTGAAGCACTGGGAAACACAGTAGAGAGAGAACTGCACCTGCCTTGGTGCTTCTGCACTGAACTTTCCAGGGTAGCTAAAGCTCTCAGCATTTTTCAATTACCTGCAACGTCTGGTCCTTCCAAACATAATACAGTCACGTAGACATCAAAATACATAGATTTTACTCCCAAACATTAGACCTGGTGGAGGGAATGAGCGTGGAGGGAATGAGCGTGCAGGGAACAAAACAGCTCCACTAAGCACACAGAATTTGGCCATTTTGAAATAAATGGAAATCGGTCCAGATATTTTACTCAAAAATAAAAGGTTTATAGCTGACAATTCTCTGAAGGCAAATTTTAACATCCATATTTCAAATGATTGCCAAAAAAAAAAAAAAGTAAAAATCATGAAAAGTTTATATAAGGGACTTGAATTTTGAAGCATGTTACATGCATTTTTGCAAAGTAGTTATTATGAAATGAAATCTAACACAAGCAGGAAGTCCATTTACAACAGGATTTCTCTTAACATATCTATTATTTTTCCTTAGAAATATCACATGCTTCAGGGAAGCAGAATTTTTCTTACATTTGAAGAAAAGAATGTACTTTAAGAATCCTAACTAGGAAATCACTGGTCAACCACAATAAGCTATGATATTAAGGCTAGTACATATCCTTTTCAGTAACAATGAGAACAGGGTGGAGTGTTCAAAACGGTATTTGTAATATCAAAATTTTTTTTTTAAGTTTAATTTTGAAGTTTAAGATTATTATCTCTTATAGAAACAAAGCTGTTGTTCAGAAGTCAGAACTGTGGAAACTTCAAAGCCTGCACCCAGAGTGATGAACTAGTACCACTGAGAAAAGTGTATTATTTTTAGATGCAGTGACTGGGTGTTAGTAAGCAAATAATTTTTGTTGCAGCATTTTAAAACGATAGCCCTCCTCAGCTGTCACTTCAACTCTCTTGGGGAGGTTAATATCTCCACAGAGGAGCTTGCAGAGGGAACGGATGCCCACATTTCTGATGTTCAATACATTAATTCAGTGTTTAACACAAACCCATCTTCACTGCAAACACCGAGATATTTGCATGGACTGTTGCTGAAGCAGCTCAGGTACAGGCATGCTCTGCTCCATCAACGCTGCTGTGGGTGCTGTTCACTGCTGAAGCTGTTCAAGCATGAGTCACCTGAATTTACTGCTCAGAGTTAATTGCACAGAAATTTCAATGCTGACATATTAAAAGACAAAGAAATAACCTTTTAAAATGATTTTTTAAAAATGGTTGCACGTTATTCAGTGCAGTTTAATCCCAGAGATTATGTAATCTTTACTTGCTATATTAAAGAGAAGAAAGTATATTCAAAACTTAAAAAAATTACTTTTAGCTAACAATCACACAAGCTAAAGAAGAATCTTACCTGGTGGAGTTTTGTCTTCTGTTTTCTATTTTCATTAAAATTTGTATATCTGACTGAGGAGACATTGTATAGATTTTTAATCTGAAAAAAAGAAAACGCGACAGAGCTGAAGAAACAATTGTGTACTTCAGACTTTTTCTTCTTATCATCAGTAAGAGACAGATACTTTTTGCACGTCAAGAATCAAGAGAGTACATTTGTTCATAAAGACAATCATATGCCACATGCTAAAGATCTGCTATAAATTGGGGCTATGGTCACTAGTATGTTTTTCTACTTCTTCCAAAGAAAAGGTTCATTGCTACCCCTGAGGTTAATTTTGGTTACCTTTTTTTAGGATTTCAGTTGCTTTATTTGACCTTTATGTCAGGAATCAATTTCTTAAACTTCTCCTGCTTTAAATTTGGTGCCTAATACACATAAGGTCCGTTAGTGAATGTTAGGATGCTTTTCATCCCAGGAATTAAGGGTATACTGCTGTCCGAGAACTCAACTCTACATACTGAAATTGCAGCAAGTGTTAACTGATCTGTTCAGAACCATTCTGTCCTTTTATTAGTGAATTAGACTAACTAGGAAAAAAACAAAAGGGTTCTTCAGTACATACCTTTGACAAACTACAGGATCTGACTCCACTGGATCAATATAGGGCTTAAGGATATCAGAGAGTGTTTTATCCTCAGGCACCCTTTCATCAAAGATAAAAATCAAATACATAAGACACGGTTCATCATGTACACAAAAAGCTATTATCTGAGTCATACAAGGAAGACGTACAGAGAAAGCTATATGTTTGCAAACTATAGTGGCACAACTAAGTAATTTATGGGACAATTTTAACTGTGTATCAATAGAGCACAGCTAATTGACAGCTCTGCCTCAATTTCAACACTGGGACTTCATTAGGATCTACAGGGAGTAAACAGATGCATATCTCTGATTCTAACATTGCAGCAGAAACATGCTGTTCCTACAGCCCTAAGAGTAGACAGAGCATGCTTCTCATCTCCCTTCAGGGTAGAAAAACTTAGATGAGGGGAAAAAAAGAGAGAAAGGTTTGTTAATAGAAGCTTCTTTTTTTTTGGCCTTGGTAAAATGGACTTGTTGGCTTTCCTACAAAGGGAACGGTGCAACTATTGCATCCTAAATGAAGGCCAGCTTCAGTGCGATGGCGAGGAGGGAAAGGAAATCTTGTTGAACATCTGCTCCATGAGAACAGAGCATGTTAAGTGTATAGTATATAAGGTGTATACGTGATGGTCATATCCTATACACAAGTTGCTCTATTTACACAAGACTAGCCATCAAACATTTTGTAAAGTTACTCAAGTTGAAAGTAAGATTTGTTCTAGCTTTCAAATAGAAAGGGACTACAGACCTTCAAATAATTTATTTAAACTTAAATACTTCTTTAATAAAGACAAAAATAATACTTGAGATTACCTTGTAAGAAAGAAATAGTTGAGAACACATCAAAATATCTTGCAGTTTATTTCTAGCAGACTAATTTATACTTTATAAATTTCTTTTTTCAAGCTCTATACCTTTTTAACGTGTATTCAGCATGACAGTGAGGAAACATGAGTTTCAAATGCCAGTAAAACTTTTGCTCCCTGAAAAGAAAAAGAAAGGCATACTCTTAACGTCGCAGTAATGTTAGCTGGCAACTATTGCTCGTGTTTTTTTCTCCATGGTACAGCTTGGTAGCCTATGACATAGATGGAAAAGACAATATATAATGTCAGATTTTGACTGGCATTTTCAAAGAGTAAAAGGGGAGAACCTGTGAGAGGCACCTTGAAAGAGCCATCAGCTCTTAGCCTCTGCCAAGTTTGGCATCCTCAGGAGGTGAAAAATCTCCTCCTTACAAACGTAGGCAAGATACCACTGATCAACTGCTCAATCACATATCACCTTTAAAGAAGAAGCATCTCCCAGCTGAGCAGCTATGTGCACAGTTGCCCTTTAATTTGAGAAAAGGGAAATGTTTTTGGCATACCATCTGGACAGGTGGCCAACCCATTGCAATGATAATAGCCAGAGGTCCCAGCCCGAGCCAAGCTCTACACAAAATGAGAAACTAGTCTTTTCGGGCAGTGATCATCTAAATAGGAAAGGGTGTGGTGTGCGGGGTGCTACATTTTGTCATAACAGGGATAACAGAAGTTAGAGACATTCAATATTTTACAGAAAGGTCACACAGGAAGCTTGTGGTAGAGACAAAAAATTGATCTCACGTACTCCTTTGCAGTTCATTGGTGGTATGACCACGTTCCCCTTCCAGCTAGCATAATTAATACCTCAGAACAGAAACTACTAAAACGTGGTTTAGTAGTGCAATACCATGTTAAGAAAGGCTATGTTGCCTAGAGGATACTTTTCTAGATCAGAAAACTTCTTCCTGGCTTTGTCACTTGTCTGCAGAAAAGATGCTTAAGTCACTGTTGACTGATTTAAGATAAACCACTTTTCTTCTCATTGCTTCAATTTCCCCCAATCTGTAAGTGAATATAACTATCTCTTTCTGAAAGAGATCTTCTAACAAAACACAGTCTAACAGGGCATGGCAGTCTGCTCTGGTTCAGAATTTTACAGTCATGGCTCAGAGTAAAGATTAGCAGAAAGGCCAAAGGAACGACTACCATTTAGAAAGAAGAGGCTAGACATCTGTCTGAGGCGTGGGAACTTCTTATAGTACCATTTTTCACTACTTAGGATCTATGAATCATTATATCCAAGGTAACCAGTATCAGTTTTGCAAAGGTCTTGGTACTACGATTAAAAATAACATGCTGTTGTTCCAACATGCTGTTTAACTAGCTTATCAGGCAGATGAAATATTATCCAGCAGGGACTAGTTGGCTACAGAGAAAAGTGTACGTGCATCCAGTAGCATGTACTGCAAAACAGTAGACAACAAATTGGTTGCTAAGTTCAATTAAGTGTGATGCTACTTTTTAAATGCAAACACTACAAAGTGCACTTACCAAATAAACAATCATTCCCTCATCTAGTCATTCCTAGGAGAAAGCTGAGCTTTAGAGCTGAATTCTACTTCCTATAGTATAAGTAAAATCAGTAAGTGTTAGTGTTTTCCAAAGGGCAGGCAAGCAAGAACTCTAGCTAGTAATCTGAAAAAAAACAGTAAATGAAGGCTAAGGCCCACAAAGCAACACGTGACTCAGTGGAGATGCGCAATGTGCTTTGTGATTCTTCACATCTAAATGCTCGAGCTCGATAAAGCTGAGAATAAGGGAGACTTCCTTAAACGAGCAGATCACATTACAACAGATCAGGTTTGAAAGAGGGAAGAAGATGGCGTGCTCAGAGCTGGAGGATAACATAGAAGTGGTTAATTACACAGCATATGTAACCAAAAGCTGACATAGGACCCTGCCTCACGGATTTCACGCTGTTTGGCACATTGCTATGGTACAGTCTCCAGCTCCCAAACTGAAGTATGTTTTCAGATAATTCAAAACCTGTGAGTCTCTTGGAGGTTTGGTACTTTTTGAAAGATAGGTCAAACAAGGTTTTGCAGTTTTTCATCTTGCAGTTAAAGGAGGCACCAACCTTGCTGTATACATACAGCAAACTGGAGTACTGAAAGGATTGTGGGACCAGTTCAACTGACTTAACAAGCTTGTGATTCCTTTCTCAGACATATATTAACATGGTACTGTATTAACTTAAAGCACTTTCCCAATATTTTAGTAAAAGTTGGTAATCTTTAAAACTTAGAAAACTCAACACCACCATTTTCTGCAGGAAGCACTAATGATGGGCACACTTACTAAAATATGCACTTACTGTGCAGAACTGTTCAAACGAGGCCTTTTTTTTATGTTGTTAACTAAAATAAGGCTTTCTAGCATTTTTTTCATTTAACTCACCACCTCCCACATTTGATCAAACAGAATATGTTCTTCTATTGTAAGTGATCAACTCTTATTGTTATCTTATTGATACGGACTTCCTTTATCCCAAATTATTTCAATCAAGATAGCCAAAGCAAAGGGAGTACTGCAGATCTTCTATATCACAGTTCATCTGTTTCCACTTCTAGATCAGAGAAAAACACACGCGGCCTAAATACATGCCCATGGCCATCTCTGCAATGGGCATCTGAAAAAGAAATATTCCATAATTGTACTTGCTGTTTTAGAGTACTCCTTGTATATTTGTAGAAACTGTAGTCTCACAACAGAATGTGATCTCGCATGCAACACCAGTCCCCTGTCGGCTCACTGAGCCATCGTCCGTTCATCACTGCAGCTGTATAATCAGCTTAGAGGATCTTTTTAGACTTTCATCCTCCCTCCCCTTTCCAGGCACAATTCAGCCTATGGACTAGTGCTCAGAAAGGGCTACAAATCAGGGAAATATGAGCATGGAAGTTAAAAATGTCATTTCTTGTCAAAAAGTTACACTTCGGAAAAACAGAAGCGCTGATTTTTCAGCATGCTAATATGTAAACTGGCAGGGTTTATTTACTTCACCTCTCTGGAAAGCATTCCTGTCTGAAAGTAAATAGCAGAGAGAAAGAGCTAAGATAGAGTAAGAACTGTGCAGAAGGGGGCAAGGAAAAAAGAAATAGCCTCATACACTTCTCTGTAAAATAAAGTCTTCGAAAAATAGCATTACTTTTGTATAATGAGTTTCCGTAAGTAGAACAAATTCGTAATAATCTGCTGGATGCCTATTATTATAGTGAAGCATTCCTCACCATCAGTGATTTCTGCATGATTAGAGAACTTGATGTCAACTGTAGATGTTATCAAAGTTGCTTCACAGAAAGTTCAGATTAAAATTAGATATCCTGGCTCCAGATTTCACTGACTTCATTTTCCATTATGGCTCCCCAGGGCAGTATTTCCTTCAAATATAATTGACATGTACCATGTTCATTTTCTACATGAAAAGGCTTAATTGAGTAAGTCATCCGAAGTTGAGTAACAGCTCAGTGCTTAAAGCGTTCCATGCCGTTAAGTGGCCATGGAATGCCACTCCATGGTTTTCTTGAATACCAAGGCACTGACTATAAAACTACCAAACAGCACAGGTCTGGATGAGGAACAGCACATCCTTGATGTCATTAAAAGCAGTATCATAGCCCATCCCTGCATTGCTTGGCTTCACATCCTATTTTGGCTACTTCAGAAGCATGGAAACCAATCAGAGGGCGAAAGAGAAGCCAAGGACCTCTTCTCCCGCATGAGATGTAGCTACAAATTATGTTCTAAACTGCACAGGCTGTTTTGCCATTACTGTTCTTCTAAAGCAAAGCATCTGCCTCCCTTTCATTTCTCCCAAATTTTTCCCCCCAAATTATTTTCTATAATCAATTTCACTTTTCCTCAGTCTTTTTGCAGAGCTACCTGTTTTTTTTTAAACTTTTGACAGTAACAACTGAAAGTATTTCTGATGCTACAAAGGTAGCAGGAATATATACAGTAGCTGTTAATTTCTGCTAATTCTCTGAAAAACTGTGAAGATTCTCACTGTCTTTTACAGTTAATGCAGTACCTGGGAAGATGCTCCAAGTACTGTGGGTGTAGGCAGTACAGCCGCTAGGAAGTAAAGGAGAGATCTACAAAGGACTTAGAGACCTAGAGATGCAGGTAAATGCCTTAGAGGATTTTCAGAAGGGTCCAACACCTGCATATTTCTCAAAACATTTATGAAATATCTCATAAAGCTTAACTTTTTGAGCTAGGTTTCCTCTGAACAGGCATAGAATTTTGCCTAGATTGCTGCAGAAGGCTTTATATTTCTATATACGTTTTCATAAAGAAATTGACTCAAAGTTCCAGTTTATTTCATCATTAAGATACCAGTTGCAATTCTGGCTCTGCACAAATACTTAGTGTCAGCCTGTGAAAGACAGTGATCCATTGAGCATTTTGTTTCTATTTAGCAACTAACAGTCTAAGATGTTTAAGAAGAGTACGTGGGATTACCTTACAGCAAAGCACAAGTACTAAAGTATTTCTTACACTAATTTGGATTGATAAAAGAAGGAAAGGAAATAGAGATGTTTAATGAAGGACCATTATCCTTTAACTTTGATAATACCCAGTACTCTTACCCGGTGCACTGAAGGTGAACTGAAATACAGGGCATTGAGTATCTACTCCTTTGGATAATACTGCCTTTCTTTTAAGCAACAAAGATTCAGTCCAAGTTCTCTCTTGTGAAAACAACAACAACAAAAAAACCCTATTAAAATAAGAGAACATGCATGGGGGATTTCACTGGGGAAAAAAAAAAGTTCATAATGCCAAATTTGCTTTGTAGCTTCTAACAACAACACACAAAAGAGGATGCCTCAATTTAGCTGAAGCTTGATTAAGCTAATTCCTAACTGAAGTTTGATGTATAAACAGTAAAACCAAACGATTTCTACTGAAGGCTGAAGTGTTTCCTAGTCACAGTAAACAGCAAGACAATCCATGAAGAAACTGAAGTGCACTTCCTTTGTAACACATATGGTCTTCTATCAAGGGGCCTCACAACAGCAGGAGATTTTACTAACCATATGTGTTGCAATAATTAAACATGCTGGGGTTGAACCGAGTCTCCTGCATAAATCAAAGCGACACTGTCAAGGCTGAGTCACTCAAACCGCAATTATCTTAAAAGAATGAAATTCCTGTCCTGCTTAAACTCTGCAAATAAACAAAATGACCATCAGTTTCATTATGAGAGTAAAATATTTCAGTTATTAAAAAAAAAAAGTTTCAGCTGCAGAGCTCAGTAAGTGTTCATATTCAAAAGCAGATCTTCTGAAAAGCTACCCATTTACTGAAGGTAGCACAAGGCTCCTGCTCTCCTAGATTTAAGCTTAATAGGTCTAACAGCGTAAAGTTAGCCCAAAATACAGCTCAAATAACTCCCGGATAAATTCTAAATATCAGCAACATTTCAAAAAAATTAATTTTGATCTACTTGAGGATAGAAGAGTTATTGTTTTGGGATTTTCCAGTGTACCTCAAAGTAATTCCATAACACCAGTGATCATTTATATGATGCTACTCCTAAGTCTCCATACTGTATTTTGTTTTCAGTATTCAATCAAAGAATAGAGATAAAGGGAACGATTCCCTCCTCTCCCATCCATATAATCTGATCAGCTATTCTCAAACTGCAAGCATGCCCACCACTAGGGAGGAGAGAGCTGTATCCTGTTTGCGGGGAGGACAGGTGAGAAGGGTTTTGGTGCTGTGAGTAGAGTGGATATGTAGTCAGAGGGAGACCGCTATGGGTAAGCGGCAGGGCCAGCCTGAGCAGGGCAGCAGGGAGAGCAGAGCTGAGGGAGCTGCTCAACCACCTCCTGCCAGGCAGCTAGGAGCCCCAGTGCTCCCTATGCTCTTCTGCTTGCACTGCTCCCCAACCCTCGTCCCAACCTGCCACCTCGTCGCGCTGCCCACCCCCTTCCCAAAGGCTCCCTGCGCCAGCAGTCCGCCCCAAGTCCATGGCAGCACGCTTCCAGAAGGGGAACTATCACCTACGCTGTAAAATGGGGGCATCACAGACAAAGTTGGCTGAAGCAATAAAAAAATTTGAGAAATCGCTTCTAAATCTGACGTCTCATAGGTAAGAGCTCACTATAAACTGGACTCAGACTCCATTTTCCACTGGCCCTCCATTAGCTAGATTTTCAAGATTACAAATTAGTCTAAGCTGTGTGTTACCTAGCATTGGCACGTATGCTTCCACAACACTGAATTTAGCAAACAAACTAACCGAAACCAGGAAATGAAGAGTCTGGTTAATACATCCAAACAACAACTGATCTGTCCTCCAGAGCTGGCAGGGGCAGGGGATGACACAAGAATACATCTTGTACTTCCTTGTCTTGGATTACTCTCGCTCCTGCCTTGTACAGCCTAACGGCTTGGCTCACATGGAAAGCGTGAAGACGACATCAGAAAAGACTGTTCCCAACTTTCTGTGCGCATATGTAGTGTAGCTTCCCATCTCCACCCTCAGGAGCAACCCCTCCACAAATCCTCACTGGCAAACAGCATGAGGAGCTCAGATGTACACAAGGGTTGACACACCAGACCCTGGACACTGAACTGCTAAGCTTGTATAAAGCAATTCTTTGCATAGCTTAACTTTTTGTTGAGTATTACATTCAAAGGGGTAATGGGTGTCATGAAATCACATGGGATAGGTGCTGAACGGCTGATAACTCTGTAGTTCGATTAAATCTGAGGTTTGATTCCTCAGGCATCCATATAACAAAAGAAGGCAAAACGTGCCAACTTAAAAAAGGTGCTCAGTTTTTATCTAGATCAGTGAATTCAAACAGGTCATCGCTGCATGAGTAACGGTATTAGCACAAAAGACGAAACAGGATTGCAGCAGCCTGTACTCAGACTGGTTTTAGCTGCTAAGTTTGGTAGCTTAAGCTTTGTGGTGAGCTGGTTCAGAGTTGATCCAGCTGAAAAGTGTCACTGGAAAAAAAAAAAACTTCCTGTTATATTCAGGCTATATTACCCTTTAAAAAAAGGAACAAAGGCATATTGTAGCAAGAATTGTTTCTTCTACCTGTCTGTTTAGCTTGGCTTAAACCTGAAACCAGGAAGGTGCAGGCTGCATTCAATACTTACCATACATCCTTTAGGAGCCAAATCACATAAAATGCTACTCTGAATGCGTGAAGAGGCACTTTAATGCATTTTCAAGTGATGAGCTTGCATCTGTTCTGAGAGCCATACCCTTCCTTGAATAATTAGCTCAAAACCGCTTACCCTAAGGCAGAATAACTTTGATAATGTTTAGCAACAGAAAGTATTCGAGGGATTGTCACAAAATGACTGATACCTAGCAATGGCAGAATCTGTCAACATTAAGGAAAGGGCTGGGATGTGTTTGGCTGGGGGAACTATCTCCAGAACCTATTGTTTAAAGGTATCATAACTTCTGCTGTTGAGCTGTATGAGACACATCGAACCTCAACGCAATCTAAGGAAGCATGGGGATCTTAGAAGGCTAAGAAACAACGTTTTGACAGGAAAAGGTTCTAACATTATCAGTGACTAAGCCTCTTCTCTGCCTTAAAGAAGGTACAATATAAAATTTCAACTTTTTAGCCCCAGTATGACTTACTGTAGATTGGATAGAGAACTGCTATTCAGGACAAGCTGCTGTTCCCCCTTCCCCCAGCAAAAGCACATTTTACAGTATGTTTTACTCTATTTCTAAGCATCTACTTTTTGTAGTAACCACAGTACATATTCCATAGCCTTGAACCACATTTGCAGGAAACAGATGGTTACTTTCCCATCCTCTTAAGGATGGGAAACATGATCAAGTCCTTTACGAAGAAATCTGAAAGTCCCTTACAGGCTAACGCTTTAAAGAAAGGACTGTTACTATTGAGAAAAAAGTAAGGTATTTTCCCAGGCAGCCTGTAAAATACTTCCTTGACTATTTGCCAATAAGTCACCTTCCTTGCCCCATCTTCTTAGGTTTTAAATCTGCTTCCCTTAGAAAAAACAACATGTGAATGCAAAATCCACTCAAAGATTGAATTCATTCCCAACACGAGCTGTGCTTCAGTATGTACTCCAAAAAGATTTTCCAGAGAACAAAACCTGAAAAACATGCTATGTGAAGGCAAATCTCTGTCAGCACAGGATTGCACCAGGCCCAGAATCTTACCAAGAGAGACCAAAAACTCTGTCTCTTTGCCTGTTCTGTTCTTCTACCCTCCTTAGCCACTGATCCCTGAGTCTCAGGGCTCTTCACACTTGCTCTTGCTCTTTGAGCCTACTCTCCTACCCTGTATTCCTAGGGAGGCTTGTGTTGCGCCAGGTATCCATGACATTTAGGAGACTCTCTAGGAAAGTTAAACTGAGCTCTAAGCTTGAGATACTTTAGCAGCACAAGCCTAGCACAAGATACCTATAGATGGTAGAGCATGTAGCCAAGAAAAAAAAAAAAAATCAGCATAGATGCAGACAGTCTCTGCTTACTTGGCTAGCATCTGCAAGGTTTGGGACTATCCTCTAGTCTTTCCTGAGCAAAGAAGAGAGCCTCACTGATGCATAAACTTGGGGCATGGGGAAGAGAAAACATGCCAGACTTCCTTTCCTTCCATGAGTCCTCCATGGTTTTTCTCTGGCAGTTAGAACTGGTAAAGTATGACCTGTAAAAAGTTACGTTTCTAAATCTCTTGTATGCCTTATGTTCTACCAAGAATAACGTATCTGCAAAAACGAGAAATCATGCTTTGCCTCAAAACAGAACAAATTATATGAGAGTGTATTCTGCAGTCTTTCATCTGGCTTGTTAGTTTGTCAGAGAGAGACACCTGGTGGCTAGTCACTCAAGCACGCTCAGAGTTTCTCTTCTAAACATTGCTTTTAGATCATGATCCGTCAGTAAACAGAGAACAATACGGAAAAACGCGTCCTGGAACAGAAACTCACCACCAACTAAGGACACAAAGAAAATCACAGGAGGAGCCAGCAGCGATATCTGACACAGCTGACTACTGTCAGAAGGCATTTAGATTTGCCCCCAGTCCAATCACAGAGCTGAACTCTGGACCTGCTTCCCGTCCTAATGAAGTACTCTAAATTATTTTCACCGCAGAAAAATATCTTTAAAATACAGTTTCTGAATATCAGAGAAAATCCGCAGGAGAGGGTAAAGGAAAGAAGACCTGAAATTATCTTAGCTTTTTTTCCTGAACTCATGCCGGTCTGTCTGCGCTTGTCTCTCCAGACAGTGCCATATCAAGTGTTCACATACTCCAGTAGGCTTCAACCCTTAGCACAGCATGCAACAGAAATAACTGGAACAATTTAGAAGCAGCTGTTTTGAGAACAACAGACCTAAGGACAGTCTTCTTCCTCCTTCAGGGATAGAGATTTTCAGCAACCATTCACTTTCTATCAGTAACCTTTAAAGATAAGTTCTTTTCCTCTAGCAACAAAACCATAAAAAGCCTTTTCAGAATGTCAGTTAACAGAAGATGAAAAACATGACAGCATTGACTTCTTCCTCCTGCGACTGAATGGTACTGTTTTTCAAAAATAAAGCATGAATTGTATAAGCTGTCAAAATTGAGCCTGAAGAGCCTACAAAATGAAAACCCGCAACAGGAAATACTAAATTTAAATAGCTCCTTTAAAGAGTCTGTGGATCTAACAGATTTTGAAAGCATATCAGTATGAATTCAGACCCTCAAATCATTATGTGTTCAGTGAAAACAAAATATTGCCGATTATAACTAACCAAAGACTTACTTCTTATTGAAGATGGTTGAATTTTCTCTTCTTTTTGTAAATCCAATGGGCAGAGTTTTGAGGTTGATATTATGTCTCCGAGCTCTATTTCTCAAGTAATTTATCTATTAAAAAATAAAAACATATTTGAACGTGAATAATATAATCAAAAGTTGAAAACAAAAAAGAGTAATTCTGAAGGGAATTTTGGGAAAATTATAGAAAAGGTCACATTTAATACAGTAATGGCTTTTACCACCCCCCCCCCCAAACTCACAAAAGAAAAAGTTAACAGAGGAAACTACCTGAAACACTTTCAGGTGAAGTTTTTCCAAGGTTAAAAGCCAGCATGCCTATGAGTTCTTTTTAGTAAAGGTATTTAATCCCCCCCCCCCCCCAACAAACTCACAAAAGAAAAAGTTAACAGAGGAAACTACCTGAAACACTTTCAGGTGAAGTTTTTCCAAGGTTAAAAGCCAGCATGCCTATGAGTTCTTTTTAGTAAAGGTATTTAAGCATACTGTGAAAGCCACACACAGCCATTGTGGATGTAATACCACCCACGGAGCTGTTTTGGGGCTAGAACCCAGCTAGCAGAAGGGATGTACAAACACCATCTCATCCGCTCTGACGAAATCTGATCTGAAGGTAACACTAAGGATATCATTCTATAAACGTGCCTACTGCCAAACCCTAAAAACTGCTACCCTATATAGCATCTCACCATCTTCAGCGCATGTATTCTCATGACATCCCCGTAACCAAGTACACGCAGACACAGAGTGCTACTTCAGTCTAAGGGGAAAGCTGGGAGTCTTCTGAATTTACTTTGCAATAAAACACCAACATGAATTCTCCCCAACCGAGCAGCTGAATGCTACGTTTACATGCCTTCAGAGGGCTGGAGAACAACATGGCTCTGATACCTTTCTATGACATATCAGTGAGCAGAAGTACACTAGAGTGGATTTTTCTTCTCCCCTTCCTGATCTTGGTCTTCTCAGTTTTGTCACAAAACTTTCAGGAAACGCCATATATTTTATGATCTTATTACTGTTTTAAACAACTGGAAGATTTTCAATCAAAATCCCTTCCCATCCATAGCAGATTAGCTTTTACTTCCTTGTCTCATTATAAATGAATGATTTATTCATTAGAAAGCTCTAGCTGCCTTCATTTGGTACACGAACGTGGAAGCACGTAATAAAAAACCTCATTGCTTACATGGGAATACTGTGCTTAAAAACTCAAGGAAATTGTGAAGGTGGAAGGGAAAGGGAACACTCAGGCTTTCTTAACACAAACTTAATGTCAAACAGCAAGAATAGCCACGTCAGTTCTTTTAAGAGCATACGCTACTGGCAATTCACTCTTCTAAGCAATTGGATGCAGTCATCAGTACTACTCTTACATAGAACTACAGATTTCTTTGATTTCTGGCTCTAAACTTCAGGGTCATTCATACCTTCCCAGGAAAGGTATCAACTCTGAAGTCTGGATTGGGACTGCCTCGGTGGGAATTCAAAGAAACTCAAGCTTATTTCCAACTGACCAAGTTCCTAATTTAAAACTTACAAATTTATTTGTTGTTGGCCTATGCACAGAAATATCTCGAGCAGCAGCATCAGCTGTCCTTCCTACATCTTCCAGGAAACGATAATCTGAAGGTAAAAGAAGAACAGGAAAAAAATGTAGTGCTAGCCTACTAAAAAGGATGAATTTTAAAAAGCACAAGGAATAGCCTTACCACTCAGAAGGTTCAAGTCAGTAAATTCATTTACAGAGACAAATGCTGTTTTATCCCTGATTCCATTACAGCTCAGTGCAAGCTTATGCTTCTTTACACACAACAGACTGAAATGACACACAAAAAACCCCATCCATTAACAAGCCAGGTTCAGCACAAGAGTGAGGAAAAAAAAAGAAAGAAAGAAAAAGAACAGTTTAATTCAGATAACAGATACCTGCATGAATATTTCATGCATCGTGGACATCTGTACTTAGCTTCTTCTTCACTACAGGTTTCACATCTAAAAGAAAGAAAACATACCTCTCAATAAAGTGGCATCTTTGTGCCCAACTGACTTGGGAAGGCTTCTGCTCAACAGCCAGGTGCTACACTATTGTTCACAGATTTCAGAAAAAGCCATTTGAAGCGTGAAAGCAGAAAGAGGAAATACAAATACTTTGGATTAGGCCAGGTGGCAGAATAATATACCAGCTATGGGGAGCATCTCCCAACACATATAAGGGTCTTGCCCATATTAAAACACAGCACAGAGATGCTTGAGAGAAAGAAAAACACGGTAACTGCAGACCTGGAAGCACAGCAAGGCTGTGTCAGCTTACGCTTTACGGCCTGGTCTAGCAGTGCTTTTCTATGTTGACATCATTCAGAGGGTGCATCTCACATGCAGCCTTCCATGTGTTTGTAACTGGGGCATTTACGTTCCCAATTCACAGCAAAACCTGAACACTGCATCTCATTTCTGTAGTGAAATAAAATAAAGATGATGCAACTCAGCAAAACTTTCCCCTGGCTGTTAGCAAAGCAAAGGCTACAGTTAGGGAACCTCCTAGCGACAACATGCAAGTTTTTACACATGTAGGCTAAAGTATTTTCTGATTAGAAAGACTTCTTCTACTTTCAAGCTAGGTTACTATAACTGATATATTTCCATTTTTAGAAAAATATTCTTGGTATTTTCAAGGAAGAATTTATCATTTTTCATTTAATTCCCACAAGCGTGGCAGAAAAAAAAATGACCCTCAATCCACTCCAATAAAGTTGCTGAGAACAGCACAAAACCATCACTTTCAACGCTTAAAGAGAAAAAAGTAAGACTGACGGTGTTTGGCGCGGCCCCGGCGCCGGCGCCGGCTGGGCGGAGC